TACCTACATATGTAACATACACCAACAAGCGAGTGGCCGAAATTGTCCGAACAAATTTTCATAGCGGTAATTACATACGAAGTGATTTAAATGGTCCTCGTTACTGCCCTTCTTTAGAATCAAAGATTATGAAATTTGGATCGCTAAATCACAGGGTCAGTTTCATAAATAAAGTTTTTTAATTTTTGAAAAAAATACCTTTTGTGAATTTTTTTCTGCTCCCAGACTCTTGTTATTTCGAAGACCTTTGGAGGTAGTGATAAGAGTTGTAAGAGTTTTCCCTTTTTACTTGTTGTAGGTTTTCTTGGAAGCTGAAGGTCTTCAGTCTGAACTTGTGTATCCGCAAGGTATGTCAATGACTTTCGGTGCAGACGTCCAATTGGAGGTGCTGCGGGCAATTCCTGGCTTGGAAAAAGTTGAAATTACACAACCTGGGTATGGAGTTGAGTACGACTTTGTTAACCCACAGCAACTCAAGAGTTCTCTAGAAACAAAAACAGTGAGAGGATTATTTTTTGCTGGTCAAATAAATGGCACAACTGGCTATGAAGAAGCAGCTGCTCAAGGTATTTCTGTAATAGCTTTTGTTTTAATGAAACATAGTGATTATCAAGCTTATTAATTTCAATAACGTTAAGTGGAACTTTCAGGTGTGTTGGCTGGTGTAAATGCGGCTAATACCTGTAATGGAAAAGAGCCTCTTCTAATAGACCGTACTGAAGCTTACTTGGGAGTTCTTGTCGACGACTTAACTAGCCTCGGGACCAGTGAGCCGTATAGAATGTTTACTTCACGAGCAGAATTCCGCCTTCTTCTTAGGTGTGATTTTTTGTCTGGCTAGTGTGTCATATTCAAACGGCAGCTTTGAGCTCTGAGCATCTTTTTCTATAGAAAGTTATTTAGGCCTGAAAATGCCGATTTGCGACTTACGGAAAAAGGTTATTTGGTGGGTGCGGTGGGCAAAAAACGTTATGATTCTTTTTGCAAAGTTCGGTCAGATATGGAGAGTGCTAGAGAGACTTTGAAAAGCATTAAATTTCCGTTGCATAAATGGAAAAGTTTAATTCCATCGCTAACCTGCACAAGGGGTTTAACAAAAGGTTTTTTGAATGTTTTCCCTAACGCAGTAAGCTCTGAAATCTCTTTCAGTCTTTTTTTCTTTGTTTTTTTTTGTAGTTTTAAGCGCATACGATATGCTTTATCGGCATAACATCACTCTGAATGACATTGAAGATGCTGTTCCAAAATCTCTTACAGCGTTTTTGGGCAATCAGGATTTGGAATTTCGTCTACGTACGGAGGCGTCTTATGAGGCACAACACATCGTTCTGAAGGAGAAGGTCAGTACTTCTTAGGATTTTCAAAAAAATGCTTTTAATTTATTCTTGAGGTCCTTTTAGAGGTCTTTGGGTTCACTTTTCACTATGTGGAAATACACGTTTTAGATAAATGAAGTTAAGAAAGAGTGTGCAACGCCTATTCCTAAAACGATAGATTATTCGAAGGTAGCCTTATCTGATGAGTGTCGAGAAAAACTACAGGAGTGGCAGCCGCAGAATTTAGCTGCAGCTTCAAGGTTGTGAATCTTTTTAACTTTTTACATAACATTTCGCGTGCTTCAAGTGGTTATAGGAGAAAACTGTTCAAAACCTGAAAATTTGCTGGAATTGAAGAATTAACTGTTGATTAAATTATACCAAATAAAGTTATTGCAGAATTCCGGGAATGACCCCAGAAGCATTAATTAGGATTTTAAACCATATCAGATACATAACAGCATATTCAAACAGTAGCAGTTAGCTTCTTTACCCAATCAAGAAAAAAGTAATGTTAAACAATTTATTTGGTGAAAAAGTGAGCATTTATGCATGTGCTAAGGTTTCTTTAAATTTAGGTTCCTGTCTAGTTGCTGAAATTGGTAGTTGTTATAAGATGTAAGGGTACTGGATATCCATTACTCATTGGAAACCGCTAAATGAAAGTGGAGCA